CTCAAATACTTACAGACACTCACCAGATGCACAGGCTTATTTATAAAAAATGTTAAACATAATTAACTTAAATATTAAACAGTTCAATCAACAAATGTTGTGATGGAATCACCGTTTTAATTATATCAATCTCTGTGGCAGCACTTGCCTGGTAAAATTAATCATTTTCTTCCAAGAAAGCCATTTCCCTGTCTTTTTATGGTAACCAACCATCCCAGTATCATTTGCTTCTGTTTTCTGTCTCTTTGTATTCTGTAATGATGGTCTCTTGGACGGTGTAACGGTCCCGAGATATTAATTTAGGCAACGATTCTGTTAATATTTACCTTCGCATTTAGGGATAGGCCCGCTCCACATGACTTTTCCTCTTTCTAACTGACAGGTGATGGTCTCACTTCCTTGGGTTTTGATAAAACCATCCTCACACACCACAGAGATAGAGCTGCCAAGCTGGAAGCTGTCCCCAAAGCGGCGAGCGTTGATGGGGATGCCAGGGTCTGGGCACTCGTTATGTCCAAATGCTGTAGTAAAAACAAACAAAAAAAACAAAAATAAAAAAAAAAGTTGTAAGGAGACACAAAGATAATGAAAGCACTTTTTACAAAAAAAAAAAAGAAGTGCATACACAGAAAAAAATGACCAAAAATGAAAACTACACTTCACAGGCAAAATGTAACCTTTTATTCAAATTAACTTTAACACATTTGCCACCTGACACCAAACATTTTATATAAAAGATAGAAACTTTAAGAAGCATTTTCAAAAATATATGTTTTGTTGGAGATGCATTGTTTCAATTTCGACAAGGGCTAAGCAAATTYTCTCAGATGAATAGAGAATGAAAAAAAAATCTTATATTGCTTTAGCTAGAGACAAACTATCTGAAAATGCTCTTCTGTTGCCTTCTTTGCCTTTGTTTGAAGTTTCTTTTACACATCAAACCTGCATTCCTAGCCATTGTAGAAAAATACAGTAACACCTCTTCCATCAAAGAAAGCTGGTTTTTTTTTTGTCATCTAAGAAATATTTGTTGAGCTCTTTCACCCTCCTACCTGATTTACGGTTTTGCACATTCAGAGCTTCTATATCTTCAGTAAAACAGCTAAACGTCTCAAACTGGAAGGGGATAATTTCATCTGTGCTTTGGGATAGCTTTGATGGTAGTTAAAAATGTTTAAAGACTATTTCCTACCCAGTGTAAAATGACATTTATCCCACAAAGCAGAAATCCAGGTGCTTAAACATGGTAGACTGTTTGACAAAGGACAATATTTTGCATTTAGTACAAAAACATAGTTTCTTGCAGTCATATAATGTGTCACAGTAAAAGAAAAGAATGTCTAAAGCTGTCCTGATGCATCTCAGTAATCCAGGTAAAAAATCAAAAAGAAAAAAGTTTTATAGGTCTTCTGGACGGGTTCTTCTCTAATGAAACGTTTCGTCTCTCCTCCAAGAGACTTCTTCAGTCTGAGAGTTTCAGGCAAAATACAAGGCAAAAGAATGGGCAAAAAATGGGCAAAAAATGGGCAAAAAATG